TGTAGGCCAAAGGCACAGTATCTGCTCTGCTGGAGAAGGTTTGGTGGCTGGTATGAGACACATGCACCCAGCAGAGGTCAGGCACTCATCTGTAATTTCCATTCCAGTCCATCGTTCAGTACTGATGCAAATGTCCTCTGGGATATGGAGAGGAGGGTTGGAAAAGGAGAGCTAAATTTCATGAGATGTGTGAGGAGATGAGGCACACTAGAAACCTGGACATGTATGGTGGTGGCTGGCTGCTACCTACAAGGGTCACTGACCTGCTGGGATGTCTGTGAATGCCTCAGTCCCTGATATTTGCCTGGTCACTCACCCACAGGTAAAACCACACYTGCCTCTGTTGCTGCCAGGAAACAGAATCTGCAATGCCATTGTGCAAGGAACAAACCCCGTTCCCTACCCCATGGATACAGAGAGTCCAGTCTAGCCTTGGAGGCGGCCACCTCTGTTCAGCCATGACTAGTAGGGCTGGGACAGACTTTGGAATGGGGTATGGCCAGGTATCAGGTAGTTTAACAAGTCTGTCTTTATCTTCAACACATGCCTGGGGCCCTGTGGTCCCTCATAGGCTCCCGGCCAAGCTGGGGACAGCAGTGCATGTGAAAGCCCTAGGGTGGATTGCWTGTCAACTCAGAACACGATGGGGCTGAGCTTAAAATCCTGCTCTTTAACCACTGGGAAATCCAAAGGCTGTTTTGAGGAGTGTGCAGGAATGCAGCTTCCTTTATCCAGGCCTCCCTCACACACACCTTCTTCTGTCACACTGCTGCTGCTGGTGGCAGACTTGTGGTGATCCTGGCCAGAGGTTTGGAGTGTGTGTTTGTGTTTGTGTTTGTGTGAGCTGTCCACACTCCCATTGATGCTGGATGCTACTCAGCTATCTGCTGCTGTCTGAGGCCTGGCCTCAGATGCCTGGCTGCTTGCTCATCGCTCACCCCACTTTGTAAAAATTCTTCTTTACAAGGAGTTACTTTCTAGTCCAGCTACTTTTCTGTCAAAGGCATGTTGTTCTGGGCTCCCAGTGGTTTGCAGTTTTTATTCAATATTCTTCTTCAGAATCCTCCTTGATCTTAAAACTATTTTCATCCTCTCTCCTCCTTTTTTCCTTTAATTCATTTTTGCTCACTAATCCATTTTTGCTGAGGTTTGTGCAGCGAACCTCACCTGTTTGACTGGGCTTTCCTGGAACAGTTAAATACACTTTGTTCTGCCCCAACCCCAGTTGAAGTCAAGATAGAACCTTTCAAAGTTTTCAGGAAAATGGCATTAATACTTCTCCCCCAGCCTCCATTGAACTTCTCCCCCAGAGTTCAAGCATCTTCACCAGCAGGCAAGGCTGGAGGTGCTGGAAGACATACCTGCCTCTGGGAATGCCAGGCTGCTGGCTGGGTTTGTGAGGGTAGCAAAAGCCTGCCAGCCTGTGTGAGTACTCTGATACTGGGTAAGGCAAAGACACTTCTCACAGCCACATTGATTTCTCTGTCTCCACAGACACCCCAGAAGGGTCCCCACAATGGCAGCTGGCCTGGAGAAAGCCTGCCACCGGTGCATTTCGAAAATCGCCAGCAATGGTAAGGCAGCTCTGGCAGCAATCGCCTGATGAGTTTAAGCAGCCCTGTGCTAAGCCAAGTGTATAAAGGAATCAAGGTGGTACCAASTCCCTCCTGAATCTTCCACCGAAATTTTCTTTCCTAGACAGTTTTGGGTGCTGATGGAGTGTGCAACAGTAACTCTACCCAAACAGCAGATGCCTGCTAAAGTATTTGAAGTGTAGCAACCAGCATAAAACTTCAAAYAAACACCACCACGTACCTAAAGATGGGCTGCAACAGAGCCTAAGCAAAACAGTGGTTTTGCCTCCTCTTTGAAATGTTGCCTCACACATAGTGCAGCAGAAGCATCCACAGGGAAAACCTGGTAAAGAGCAGCACAGCCACCCTGGGAACAAACTCTCCTAGGAGCAATTTCTGCCCAGCAAAACTGCTGCCAGCCTGTGTGGTGGCACAGGGACACAAGTCTGGGTACAGGGCACAGTCAGGAATATCCCCCCTTTCACTCAGTGAGATTTGGGACAGGGCATCCTTCCCTCTGCTTGCCTGCTCCCTGGCACCAGGGCCACTGMGGGTGRGGATATCCCCCACAGGCAGACACCYAGTGGGGGTTGGAAGCCCAGTTACCTGGCCAGAGGCCTTTTGCACAACAGCCTGGGCTCATTTAGGCTTTAAAGGAACGGGTTSTTCCCAGCCAGGGTGAGGGACACCGAAGGCCATGATGAGCTGGCAACTGCTTGAGCAGGCTGGCTCTTGCTCTGTGAAGAGCAATGCAGCAGAAAGCTGACCTGGGCTGAGGCTGTGCGAGCTGCACAGAGGCACAGGAGAAATACACTTCAGAGGTGGGTTTTTGTAAGAACTGGGAAGCAGAGTCCTTGGCAGGAGGTTAAATTCCATGGGKTTTAAAGCAGCTTAGTCCTGCTGACTGCATCTCCTGTGCCTTTTGCTTTCACTTCTGGGCAGYAGCAATTTCTAATTCCACTCAAATACAAGAAGCAGCAAACCTCTTGACCATTCATCATAACTGATACTTTACCGACACTAATTGCTGCATTTGCTAGTCTGGGGTGTTACCTTGGAGTCTTCTACATTCCTGATCTTTGCTTTGCTTGAAAGGCTCTCAAAGCTCAGAATGAACTTTTATTAAAGATTAAACATTTCAACTCCTGGTGCCTTAAAAACCACCAGAGAAAATCAGGCCATGGAGACAGAAAGATCAATCCAGGCCTCCCTGCAGAAACCTGGCACAGGTAGGGAAGGAGAGGAAATTTTCTGGCCCACTTTTTCATGCTCATCATTGCCCCAGGGGAAAGGAGGACTTCGAGGTGACAGAAAGCAAGGGGTGCAGAGCATGTGGCACTCTCATTACACCCTGACAAGTGCCTGGGAGTGGAATTGGGACCCAGCTGGCCCCTGTGGGACCCCTCACATCCTGCAGAAAGGACATGCAGGGRGCATATGGACCCATTGGTGAACATCACAATTTATAAATTCAGAAGTGGTATTTTCTCTGATTTCTGTTCCTCGTGGTTGAAAACAAAATGTCACTGTTCCCTGTTATTAAATTACCACTGGAACTTCAATGATGGCAGATAAAATAATTAATCCTTCTGAATTTTTTTTTTGAAAGATTGGGAATAATTCTGAGCTTACCTATGCTCTGCCACACCAGAAGCACCCTCTTGGGTACCTGAAAAGTTACCCATGATTAAGGCAACTCAGAAATACCATTCCAGGAAAGTATCTTTGAGTTTTCATCATATTTAAGTTCAAAATCAGCTTAGCTTTAGCTATGGATCAGCTAGTGCATTCTAAATTGATTTTATGTTCATTAAAATGCAAGTCCTCATGAAGTGCAATGATGCTTAATTTCACTTTTTCTCATCATCCTGCATATATTTTTCAAAGAGCTTTTCAGCACAAACCTACATTTCTAMCTGTGGTCTCCTGATATTTAAATAACTCCCAAGAGCCAACCCACCTGTGGAGCATCTGTTCGTTCTCAGTGTAGCAATTCAAGTTCAGTCTTCAATTAACTGACCAAAATAAAAAAGGCTAATCCACTATCTTGGATCTACTGCAAAGCAAACTGAATAGCTCTATATGTAATGCCTATAAAACAATGAATATTGTTTTAAAAGTACCTCTGGAAACGATTCACAAGGGGCCAAATCCAGAATCTAGACCATAGCATAACTGTAGTTTAGTAGCTAGAGGAAAAATATAAAATTCAGAYGAGACACTCTGCAAAATTGCTCAACCCCCCAAAAAACTACACCTATGACTTAAATTTTTGGTGATGTGATGCTGATATCTGGGCACAAAAGTTCTATTATGCAGAATTCAACCTTGCCTAAGCAAAGAGTGATAGGACATAGCAATCAGCTGGTGACCAGGAGCTTCGATTCGGTCACTTTTCTCACACTTCCCCTGCCTTGTATGGTGGCTTTGCACTGGAACTAGAGACCTCCATGGGAATGGCTGTTCCTTACCCTGAATCCTCCAGCTTCTGAGTATCCAGTTTGGTCAAGGGATTAAATCACCCCAGGGATGGGATTCCTCCATTTGTGCCCAGAGACTATTCCATCAATATATCTCCTTGCTATGGCATTTAGCCTCATGAACAGAGTGGTCTTTGGTTTTGCTTAAGTTCATCTCATGTCTCTACTCTTGGGATCACTCACAGGTCTGGTTTTGAGTGTTCAAACCTTGCTGGTAATTTCTCTCATTTGGTGTTGGCTGGCCAAGCTGAATGGATTTAATTCCTTTCCTTCATGCTACTTCGTTCAAATCTTTTCTGCGTGTTCCATCTGGGACAGTGACATTTTCCTKCAACTCAAAAGCACAGAAGCACAGCAAGTATCCACAGCTACCAAAACCATGGACAGACACATCCCTGGTCTGTATCACCTTACTGGGGCTGGTTCTTCAGAAAGATCCATTGAGACTTCCTTTGCCACAACAACACCCTCACGGCTGCATTCTTCCCTTTCTCCAAGTGCCTGTCAGTGCTGCAGGGGATTCCTGCAGATACATGAAGGAATAAAACATGGATGAAAATACCTGCTCCCCTCTGCACTACAGCCTGTTACAGCACCCGTGCTGCAGTGCAGCACACTGTGACACTGCTTATGTTACTGCACTACCATCTGCACTTGCCTCAGGGCATCAGCAGGCCAGGGGCCCTGCCAACTGAATTTGACCCAAATTTCCTAACACTCGGACTGCTGGGAGTCAGCCCCCTCCAGAGCAGCATTTCCACAAGGTGTCCAAAGGGCATACTGTGAATTTACACACAGAGTTTTGCTCCTCAGCTTGTTCATGCTGATAAACCCTGGGGTAACTGCAGAATTTGTTTGGAAGCTGGTAGCATCTCATAAAAAATAAAAAATAATTCCTTTTTTATCCAGTACTTGACAGACTACAGAACAAATAGCACTTGGGAATAATGGTAAAGTAACCAACACTTCATTTATTACTGTATTTATTATCAGAGAGCTTGTCACACACTCTACTGAGCAGCTTGCACTACAGCTTTATGAGCAYACTACTAACAAGAGTAGGTAGGTTGAGATTTTTATTCATAAATCACTTCTGAAAATCCTCTGAAGACTCTTCCTATCTGAAAAGAAAGAAACTTTTCTCCCTATTTAAAGTAAATAGGAACAGCCTGAGCTGATCTGAAACTTCCAAGGGCTCGGAAAATCCGCGGCAGCAAAATAAAGTCAGAGGAGCTCACAAGTGAATTGGTGTCCCACCCAATACTGCCTCCAGATGCCAAACAACTGCCAGAGGACAACAGGCTGTGTGCCCTGATGCACGTAAGTGGGGACAGATGACCAGGGAGTGGCAGAGGACAGGGAGGAGAGCTGCAGGGCAGGGCCGTGGAAGATGGAAAGGCTCAGTCATCAGGCAGAAGAGAGACCACGACGCACAGCCGAAACGTCAACAGTGATTTCAAGCGCGTTTCCTTCTGTGGGGAGACCCCGGCAAGAGGAACTCCGCTAAACAGCAGATTTGTGTCAGCTGACTGTACTAATGGGCAGGGGACACAAACCCTGCACCCACTGATCTGATTTTTGTGACAGATTTCACGGAACGCGGAAGATATTCAGACACTTGTTCYCTTCTTCCTCTGTTGTGACCCCAGACACGAGCTCTTCCCTTCATCCATTTCCCGGCTCGTTAGGATTCCCACAGCAGGACTTCACCATTGCGTAGAGAGCAGTGGGCTCTCCTGCCTGATTCTCGAACACCAGCTTCACAGAGCAGAATTCTTTCGAGCCATGCCTACAAACACTTCCCTCACTGCGTTGTGTTTTTAGAGACTACCAGCCCTTTTCTGCTACTTGTTCCAGGAATGGGTCCAGGGGCTTCTCTGACCAGCCCATGAGGCGRTATCAGCGACATAAAAATACCACTAACCCCACAAGAGCACCTGCCCACACAGCAGCGTCCTCTCTGCTGCGCTGCTCTGCTCTGCGGCAAGTTCCATTTTCGGGAGCAATTTGTCGTCGGACCAGAGCGGGGCAGCACAGCCCAGACAAAAYCAGGCAGAGAATGTGCGTATCCCAGCTGAGCAGCATTTCTGTGACAGCCCCCCACATTTGGGGAAATCAGTCTTTAGTGCTGCTAGCGACGCTGAGAGTGTCTGCACAGCCCTGCCAGTCGTGTAGGCAATTGTTGAAGAGTCTCACTTTGTTAAACATGGGTCTGGAAGSCTTCCCAGACTATGCATCTGCCCCTCCAATTCGAGACCTAAGAGCTGTAGCTGAATGGGGAGATAATGAGCAACATTCCCAGCGACTGCTTTGGGAGCGGAATTAATGAACCATTATTTTTTTCTCTTGAGCGCTGAGCGGTCTCTACCTCCCATTTCTCCCCTCCGAAATCGGGCTGTTGGGTAGATGTCAGACTCGAGCAAACACGACACCTGAATGCCAGATGTGCAGTCTCGCATGTGCATGAGACCCCTGAGCCTTTTCCAGAGCTCACTACAGCGTCCGTTCCCGGGCTCAGGCAGACCAGGCGCTGCACAATTAAGAAATGACATAATGCCTCCTCCACCTCCTCCTCCTCCCTCTGAGCTCCTSAGCACTTCCCTTGCAGCAAGGGCAGCGACAGGAGACAGCTACGAAACCGCAGGCAGAGGAGTGACGCGGCTCCGAGAGCTGCGCTGCGATGACTTCTGGCAACAYCAGGCAGTCGTCCAACGCCTGCAGACCTGAACTGCACCCCTTTGGGCCCCAGCTGAGTTGCCCAGCCTGTGGGCACTATTTGCCCACAAATGARGTTGGAAGCCCAACTCAGCTACAATACCATCGCTTCTGAATATGAGAGAGTAGTCTAGGAAAGGTAATAGCAARAGGAGCTAGCACAAAATGTGACGTGGTGAAAAGGGAGGCTCTAGGCTGAGTTGTTCTAATGAGAGGCAGGCAGTGGTTGAAAGAGCTTAGTCAAGTGTAGGACACTATTCAAGCAGAGGAAGAATTTCTGTAGTGTGCAGCATTCAAGAGATAGCAAAGAAATTTGCTCAGATAGACTGAGCAAAATTGAGAGAGAGAGAGGGAGAGAGAGAGAGAGACTGGCTGACAGGGAAAGGAGGAGGGGGCTGCACAAAAGAACAGAAGTATTTTCTTCAGCTTAAAAATACCCTCAGTCTCTACCAATTCATAGAGATGACAAGCATGCTACTTCTGAGAAAGATGTCTTTCAAGCACTGAAGTGTAAGATCCTGGTTCTCTGCGGAGAAAACACGAGCAGTATGTGGGGGATGGTGTGTTCCCATGAAAAGTGTTGCAAGGCAGAAAGCCTGGTGGATCTGCCCTGAATTTTGATACTGCTCCTATGTCCTCTCTCTGTTTCCCCTTCTGTGAAARAGGCAATGATGCTGCCCTTTCTCCCTAAGGCAGCCTGAGGGTGATATTTGGGCAGTGCTATAGAATTTCCCAGAGTGGCACTGTCCGCAGGGTGCTGGCAGTGTCCCTGCTCCCGAACGGCCGGAAGGACGCCATGCACCTTGCAGAGGTTGCGGTTCTCTGGCATGGGGAGCTGCGTGACACAGTTTGCCTGCAGAAGGGCTGGTCCAAACCCAACTCTGAATGCTTGCTCCGAGATAATTTTTTCACAAGCCTCCAAGGAGACATCCTATTCCTTTTCTTCTCCATGCTCTTCTCAGCCCCTCTGCAATCTATGCCCACCTGCCCTTGGGCATCCTCAGGCTCCCACTTTGCAGTCTGAGCCATTTGTGGAAGCGCTCTGCAGGGACACTCGCCACAGAATGTCCTCATTATATTTCACTCTCATTTGGCAGGGTAGCGTTCCACTTTGATGTTGCCAAGTGCTCATGATTAGGCACAGAGGTGGCAGCTCTTGTAAGCCAGGCTGCTCACACTGTTCTTGACACTAGTGTCCCTCACTTTCTGTGAAGCTGAGCATTCATCCTCGGCAGCATCAGGCTGTGCTGGGAAAATATCAGAGCTCAGATACACCAGCAGCTCTCCAGGGAGTAGGCAAGCACCTCAGGCCCACTCACCTGCAAGGACAGTCTGTGTGCACCCCTAAGAGCATCCCTTCATGCAGCTTAAGCTGATCTATCCAAATGACAAATCCCAGTCCTTGCAGAAGGGCTGCTGTTTGTGTTCATGAGCCAAGCTGGGTCAGAGAGGTAGATCAGCCAGAAACTATCCGCATCAGTAATAAAGACAGTTTATTTAGCTATCACTGAAAAATAAGTGAAATGGCATTRAAGCTGCTATTTGCTCAGCAAACAGATACGGCTCATCAGTTGCTATGGATTAGCTGATGCAAAATTACTCGTTACTACACAGGCGCTTGGCAGTACCTCTGAAGAGGATGCAGGACAAGGCAGCAGTGGCTGAATGCTTGTCCTTGCAACAAGACAAACTGCAAATGGTGGCTGCAAAAGCACTTTGTGTCTCATTGCAGCCTGGAAATGACAAACCATATGCTGGTCCCACCATTGCAGATGCTGTACCACAGAGTGCATCAAGTCCATCCCATCAAGTGCACTGCATTTTTGCTGCACAACTATGTGGATACAGAGCATCTGTAAAGAACTGGATGGAAATGCTGGTCTCTAAAATTGAACTATCCCAAATAACAGTCTTCCTTTTCTCATTCACAGCATGCTTTATTTTTGGGCTCCTCGCTTTCCTTGCCTTACCACTGTCCATGACTTTTATAGGTAAGTTGACYACTAAAGCAATTTGAAAATAGAAATTTCCTGGCACTGTGTGGCAGGTTAACACACCTGGTGGAAGAAAGGAGCTGGAAAATTCAGAGTTTAACTGTTAAGCCTCTGTGTTGGTACTTTAGCTTCAGACAGAATYCCAGCCCACACTCCCTAGCAGGGAGGAAAAAGTACTTGAATTCTGACCCGCTTTATCTTTATCATAAAAATCCCTCCAGTGTGTTTTACCTCAAAAATCAGCTTTGTCTGGGGGAAGGAGCTCAGAATCTGACACATGAGAAGATTTAATTAATCAGGATCCCTCTGTATTAACTACACTGCAAAAAATCGTAGAAGGATAGTGCTGGAAGGGAAAAAGAGAAGCTGTAGGCTACTATTTCTCCACCTTTTTGGAAGTCAGACCTGATTTTTGGCTAAACTGTCTGTGTATAACCCCTTAAAGGCTGCATTTGTGAGTGGAATTTCAAGATCAAATATTTAAGAAAGGAAAATCCTTTGAGCTGCAAAATTTTGTACATTTTTAAACTGCATAAGCCCCCCTCTTTTCTTGAGCATCACCTTGCCCTTACCATTAACATAGATTTTTATTTTTTCTTAACACTTCCTTGCTCCCTTTGGACCTTTCACATCCTCCATATGGGCTGTGAGGCCACTCAAGGAACATCAGGACAGTCACCAGTCCACCTCCGCTTTCAGACAGGCACGCATGCTCATGGCATGCCTGACAGATGTCTGACTTGCCCTTGCTCAAGGAAATTCCATGGCTTCCCAAAGAGCCTATTTCAACATTTTATTGCTCAAACAGACAAAGTATTTTTCCCTGTATCCAACCTAAATCTTCCTAATGGCAAATGAAACAGATTACAGACTGTCCTGCCCACTGTGGTCACAAAAACAGTGGGCACTGTCCTGCCACTGTGGTCATTGTCCTACTCAAGAGATCCTTTGAACTGTTTGGAGGCTGCTATTATAACCCTGCTCCATATTCTCTTTTTTTCCCCTAGAGGTCTTAAAAACCTATTTCTTTCATCCTGACCTCACAGGTCACTGTTTTTGGAGCTTTTTTTTTGGGTTTTTTTTGGTGGTTTTTTTTTTTTTTTTCATTTTTGCCTCCCTTCTTTGGCCTTTGGCCAATGTAAGTATTTTTCCTTAGAAAAAAAAAGGAAGATGTAATACAGGCCTCCAGCTGAGACCTGAGAAATGAGCAGTGCCGAGTAATTAGCTCCTCTCTTTAACAAGCAGCATTTCTGTAAACACACCTCAAAATGAAACATGGTCTCTCTGCACCAACTCATTTCCTCCAGTATAGTTTATGATGCATTGTAAGCCCAGATGGTTTTTGATAGTGCTGCTCCCTATCAGATATATCTCATTTTTATTTASATTGAAGTTTCCTCCCCTACACGCAGTGTTCAGCTCTATGGGTTTTCATCTTGTAGGTTTTGAATGCCTTTTGTCAGTGTATCCAGATCACTTTGAATTCAAAGTCCTCAGGAGCCCTTGTCTTTAAAAAGCTCACCTTCTGCCTCGATATTCATGAAAGATGGTCCAAATGAACTCTACATTCAGTTGCTGTGGGCAAGATGCATCTCACTTAGACTTGGGCTGGGTGCATCTGCAGTGGAGCTGAGCGCCATTTGTTGTTCTCGCAGGCTGTTCAGAGAAAGGGATGTTCCTGGCAGCGAGAGTCCCACACCCTCTGTAGGTGTCTGCCTTGAGATGAGGTGACTTTTAAGGCAGTTGGGACAYCTGGCCCATTGGCATGGACAGTTACCCAAACCCACAAAATAAGTATTCRGCTAAAGGTTGGTGCTGTTCCCTTAATCCGGGGCCTTCAAAGTACCACTGACRACTATGGTGGGATTCTGATTAGGATGCCCTAATTAGGAATTAGGGAGTTCTAATGAGGGATTAAGGAATAATTAGGAAGTAGGGAAATCRTCTGAACTGTTACATCTCAACACTTCAGCTCTTATACTTATCCATGACTTAAGATTGCYATTTATCCCTTAAGAAGATTCAAGCTTTAGCTCTTCCCCAGGCTGAATAAGCCAGAGCTGTGAAATAGGAATGGGAAGGTATAATTCAAAATGTGGCATGGCTTCCATRGCATCCAGCCTTCTGGAAATGAATCCAGGGCTGGAATCTGACCAGTTATAAATACYATTTCTCAGGAATATTTCATAATATCTTTCAGATCAATGAGAAGTGGAAAGTGTATGGTAAGATATTAACCTGGAGCTCTGGGTACCTCCTGCATCAGATACTGAGCCCTTTTTTTTTTCCTCACAACTTAGAGAAATTAAGAGATAATGTCACTGTAATGTAGTGTTGTCAGAGGATATTAGTTTCCTGCAGCTCCGTATCAGCAAAGGCATTTTTAGGAAAATGAAATGTCAAGGAAAATGCAGATATTTATTATCCAAGCAAAAGCCTATGATTTTCTGATAATAATCTGTTACCATGATCTCAGAAAAGACTTGCTGATATGCCTCCAGTCATTTTGGCTCTTGCTTCCTACAGAGGAAAACTGTGAGATACAATACTAGCTAAAACCCAGAGATGAGTAACAAGCACCCCTGCTAATAATTACACGCCAGCATTATACACTCTTAAAATTCAATAACGCTGTAAATCACAGCATAATTCAAGATTCATGAAAAGGACTCAGCATATTTTCCAAGCTGCAGACTTGTGACATCATTAAGCCACAGATTGTTTAGCACTTTTACTGGCAGAGATGATCTTTTTTTTTTTTTTTGCTTAACACTCCAAAGATATAGAATTTTTTTAAATTTTTTTTTAAATTTTTTTTTTTTTAGTTTCCAGGACAGTGAAGGATTATTCCCAATAACACATTTTTGTATGTTGTCCAGAGTACCTTTATATACAGAAGTCCCCAAGGGTAGCCACATTACATTTGAAAGCTGATGACATATTTTTCTCAATAAGCAGTCTAAATTTCCTCCTGTTCAAATTTAACCCCCTATACTCCTCACACTCATATCTACACCAAATAATTCCTCAACTCTCAAGTGCTCCTGAGAGTTGTCTGAAGACCATTCTCCTCTTCCGTGCCTTTAGGTGGGAACAGTCTTGTGCTTTAGCAGTTGTTTAGCACAATCTTTCCTTGCATTTCAGCCCTTCATCCAGTCCTCTGATTTGCTGATACGCTTCCTGACAAAATGGTGACCAAAAGCAATTCCTTTGGGATAAATTCTCTGCAGTACCTAAATCTAAGAGTAATGCCCACAGTCAGGGTTTGACTGAGGTCTGTGCTACGTGATGGCAGCCGTAGTCATCATGTGTCATCATGCAGCTGCTGTGTCTGATCTTGCAAGATCTTTGGTGCATTCATTTGGGCTCCTGAGCTGGTCTGTGTTGTGGTCAGATTCAATTGCTCTTCACTMTGAGCCACAGATTGCTCTGGCTTGCAGGGAGCACTGCAGTAGAAGCAGAGCTTTTATCTCTCATGGTCCATATATCCCACCTCTAGCAATCAAAGGAAAACATGTTGCTTGCTTATAGGAAAGAAGAGCACTGATGCTTTCCTACTAGGTTTGGTGTTCCCAGATAAATCAAACACACGCTGTGTGAGAACTGATTGGCACAGTCACTGATTTCACTGTAACAAATACCAGTGTCCGTCTATCAACTGTAGGTCCATATTTCCTATTCACACCTTGGGGCGTATTTTTAAAGTTACTACTGTTTCACCCGCTTTGACCTACTCTTTTGCTGTCGTATCTGTCTGCAGTATTCTCYCAAAACCTACAAAATGCCACTGTCATTCAAACCCTTCCCCAGACTGATTGCTGTCATGTTATATATATGAAAGGACTCCTTATTAGATTTGTCGGGGAAAGAGAAACATAGCTCCATGAGAAAAAGAAGAAAGGCTATTTTCTTGATTTTTTCCCCCTCAAACTGAAATCTCAATAACACACTGGAAACAGAAATTACCTAGGTTCTTAAACTGAAATATATTCCCAGTGATCCCTGGTCAGCTGCTTTTGTGGCAGGTTATTAGATGGCCAAAGACTCTGAAAACCCTGGAAGCAGCTTTCTGATGAAAATTATGCAATTTGTGACAATTTCCCAAATTCCCTGCTGCCCTCCCCTGTAAAGGCGGGTCTGAGCCGGTCTCAGCATTACATAGTGGCAAATTGGAGAAATAATTACAGCTTTGTAATGGGGACAAAAGGAGAGAGAGTCCAGATCCTCTAAGTGAGGACTTTTTCATTTATGAAAAGGGTGGTAACAAATACTTAGTATAGAAGACAGCCCTTACACACAGGGGATCACAGAACTGTGGACCACAAAACACTGCTCTGTGTCCTGTGACAAAAGTCAGACCTGTAGGCAAGCAACCACAATCCAGAACACCTGTATTATGGTATGCAAAGTGTGCAGGAGAGGTTCAGGAGAGGTTCAGGACATCAGCAATGTTCTGGACCAGAAATGGCAGTGGATTTGGTGGGCAAATTGAAAAGCAGAAGAGGAYTACAGCTACAGAAAAGGGAAAGCAAAACAAAAGACAAAATCCACCCAAAACAACAACAACAACAAAAAAAAAAAAACCCCTCCAAACCAAAATCCTCTGTTACCTCTTTTCTGATTCCTCCTATTCAGTTTAGTTCTGAAAATGGAGGCAAAAYATTCCACCTGAAAGATGCTTAGCACTTGAGACCAGGACATTCCTTCTGGTATCCTGCAACAAGGCAACTCCAATTATTCAGAGAAAAGTCAAAAAAACTTTTTGAAAACYGTTTCAACAGCTAGAAGAAAACAGAAAATATTTCTATCCTCTGTARCTGATCAGTCAAAGCCCTGAAACATGGGATCAATAACAACAAAATTACAGTGTAGTGAACTGTTTAAATTTTCTAAAGATCCCATTGGGTAAAAGATTTGGGCAGGGGATTCATCCCAGTTATAAGGACCTACAGCTGGCTGTCTTAGATTCATGTCTAGATATAGCTATGGAGAGACAGAGGCACTTTCAGGGACCAATTCACTTGACCCATTTCAAATGCCTATGTTAGGATAAATGAATTGAATTTTACAAGTATCTATTTCTCCCTGTTGACTACAGAGTCTAGAAAACTAGTTCACATATGGATGCCTGCATTGCAGACATCTATATTTGGACAGATGAGTTTCACTACCACAGACCTGTATCACAAGCTTCAGTCTACTGCCAGCAACATCCTCACACAGTCATATAATCTCTTCCCTAAAACTTACCCAGCTTTCCCTTTCTTGCAGTACATTTGAGGGTTGCCAGGATCCCCAGCCCCATAGCAACCAATGCTTTTATCCTCCAGCAACCCAAACAGCTTGGAAACTTGAGTTTCTACAGTTCCCTATCAGTTGCCTGGAAAGCTTAAACAGTTCCAGGTGCTCCCATGGCTCCCAAGTTTCCAGTCATCTGACTCACGAGCATGTCATGCTCATAGGAACTAATGAGCAGGAAAATCCTGGGAGAAGCTTATCAGAATTGCTTCTTTTCACAGTTTTGATTCTCAGTGAATTTTCTACTGCTGATGAAAACTTCCTGTCCAACTGAGTCAGTGGTTCATTTAACGAAAAGCAGTGACTGAAGCTAATGACCTCTACATGTGTCTCCAATCAGAAATGCCAGTAAACAGTAATGTTGTTGTTGCCTTTGCTCTGTCTCTTCCTTCTCCTGCCTTTTGCTTCATGGCCCTCACTCCTGTAGTGGGAGCTGCAAACCCCTTTTAATTCAGCCACCATTTCATCACACACTGGACACCAGTCTTGGGTGTGAGCACTACACTTCGCTTACGTCATCTGTAGTTTTCACTGTAGAGCTTGCTGCAATATCTGATCACTTAAGATAACTCACGTTCATTTTCACTATTCAGGAATGAAGTTTTTGGAAGATTGCCCAGTTCAGCCACTGATTCCCTTATATCTGTTGGTGGGTGGCGTGATTGGCAGTTTAAAGGTAATGTGCCTTCTGTGTGTGAAAACTATTTTTTGTGACTTGACTTTGACTTGCTAGTTAAGAGATGATAGCTCCGGACAACCACATGCACACAGTACTGGAGAGCTACCAGGGTTGGACTGTGCTAGTTTCCACACCAAAAGCACCCGTCAGTCAAGTGAGTTGCYAATGAGCTCAGCATTGTCCAACACATTGTGGTGTGACTTTCTCCTACATCACAGCATCTGTGCTACCATTCCTACTCAGGGAAACATGGATGCCTGGTGTAAATGGGTACTTTTTCCACAAGCGGTCTTCCAAGGATGACAAATCTTTCTCTGTTTTCACACACACAGGACAAAAAGTTGAGTTACTCTCCTTGCTTTGGTAATACTATACAACTACAGGTGTTTGTACATAGTCCTTGTACATAGTGCTTCCCCACTCAGACTTTGGCAGAAGTAAATRACTCTGCAGCAGAATCACTTCCTTCCAGAGTAAATATATCCCTGCACCACAGCAGGGCTTATTAATYTAGGTGCAGTATTTTCTAACCACAACTACCTGTCTTCTAGTGGACTGTGCTCACTTATATCTTTGCTGAGCCAGAGTCTGGCAGCTTGAAAAGTAGAGACACCCTCATATCTGTGATATACCCTGGCCACTATAAACTACAATTCTGCATTGACTCTAAAATAAAGGATCACCCTTTTCTGACAGTCCCTTTGCAGATGATGTTAGCTGGCTGCCAGGGAGCATAGCCTTGACACATTTCTAGCCTCTTCTCTTTGTCAGGACTGAAAGAAAGAGGAAAGAATACTCCTCTGYAGGTCTCTGCTTCCACTGCACTCTTTCACACTGGTAGACCAATCAAACCACAGTACATCACTGGGATATGAATCATGCCCTCCAATGACCTTTGTTCAGTAAATAAGAAAATGAAACAAAAAAAAAAGGACTTAATCCTATTACAAGGAATTTGCTATGTTGTGAGTTCTACTGGCAAATGCTTCGTCATTTGATCACACCAATGGACTTATCTGTATAATCAAAGGTTCATTTAATAACAGTTTAGAAAAGATTAGAGCAGAWCTGAAAGGAAATTTTGATGCTGTGGGTTGAATCTTTCACAAAAAGTGTTGACCAGTTCTTAGCTATTTCTGGTTTAAAGTCAGTTTTACTCACTATAAATAAGGTAGCACATGGATCAGTTAATATTCATGCTGACGTCAAATAATGGTTTGAATTTTACTTCAGTTGATGGCAGGACTGTTTATTTTGCAGTCTGGCAATGCATTTGGTCAGATCCTGATTAGCCTCGCACACGTGCCACCTCAGCACTTGGTCTGTAGGTAAATTCACATCTCTTGCCTGTCTCAACTCTGCCCTCTGTCATGTTCATTGGACTGCACTGACTTCATCAAGCAGTTCACTTACTTGAGCTGTGTAAGTTAAAAGGTCAGAGAGTGGGTGCAGGATGAAGTCTGAACAGATTCTGTCCTGTGATGGACATAATCTAGTGGGAAGTCATTCTAGCCCAGATCTGTGCAGTTTGTTGGCTCTTCACCTATTTCTTTACCACCTCCAGTCTTTTAAAAAACAATGGTAACTGAGCAAAGGTTAACTGAGGCAATTGAACCATTCCAGAGCACTCAGAGAGGCTTGTTGAATTCATGTCATGCTGCCCCATAAATGTGCATTCAGCAGCTAGTAACAATGTGATTGCCAGCAATTTCTTCAATCACAGCTTGGCAAGGCAATATCCATAAAAATTAAATACACTTTCTGTAAACTAGTTAGATGCAGTTGAAATCCATAAATCTACCTGGGAGTTTTCTCTGACTGCCTCAAACCCAATACTCATCTGCCATTTAACCCTATTCCCATTGCTGAGCTTGATGAAATGTGAGTACAGGCAGCTGCCTGTGTGCTGAGCTGAAATCTAAATGAGCTGATAAGCTGCAGCAGGCTTCAAGTCCAGCCACAGGAATCCCTATGCAGAAACCTCAGTCCCACTGGCCAGGAAGGTTTATCCCTCCTGTGTCTCAYGAGTCTGTATAAAATAAATATTCACCTGAGAAGAAGATGGTTTGAGCAAGCCAATCGGTTTGAGTGCTCAGCTGCATGCGAGATATCAGCAGAAACACCATATTTTTTTTGCCTGTTGGTGCTTGGACTTTAAACTGTGTTTTTCAAAAATTGGTACMAACATTTGGGCTAGAAAAACAGTTGGTTTTATGAACAAATATTTAATTATTTATAGATAATGAAACAGTCTTACAAGGAAGCGTAAGATAAATCTCTGGATTTTCTTGCTAAGCTTTTCCTATTGAAAATGAGAGACATGGACTAAAAGATTTTAGACCTGACAGAACATGTACCCAAACAGGTTTTCCTTGCCCAGTATTCTGGAGAAAGAAGAGTGTAAAACGAGAGGTGCTCTTTTTCATTTCAAGCAGAAAAATGAGCACAGAATATAACTCTGAAAGAGAACACGACTGAGAACCCCAATCTACCCATGCTCTTTGTATTGCCAAGACTGAGCAAGAAATCCAAGCATTGCTGATGAGTCCTACTGCATTTCCTTGTATACCAGAGCTTCCTAACCACCTGGCATCATGGTATTCCACTTATTTCTCTGCTAGTTTTGACTGAAGACCGGAGTGGAGCAATCTGAGAAAATGGCACTTAACTGAAGAAAACTTGACAACAGTATGTTGCAAGCATCTAAAGCAATTTCTTTGAGGTTTAAGTCATAGTCTATATGCTTCATAATTTGATATACGATGATTCAACTTTATAACCATGGAAAAATAMAGTTAGGAGAGACAAATCTACCCACTACAAGGCAGGAACTACACTACTTAAGTCATTTAGCAGTTACTCTAATCTGTTCTTAAACGTCTCCTGCGTGGGAGCTGCTGCCATCTCCCTACACAATCTGTTCTCATGCCTTTCCATCAGCAATTTTTCCCCATTTCTGGCCTCTCCAGTGAGTAAACTACAAGGAAAAAAATGCATTATTATCCAGGAGTACCTGCCTCATTTGTRGCTACTTAGCTTTCTCCTCCATGATTTCCCACACCCAATTTTATTTGGCCCAAAGATTGGCAGTGGCCAGAAGGTGTTCAGACTCTGCAGCCACTTCACCTCTTCCATTTTCTCTCCCAATGCCTCCAGGTGACTCTCCTGCTGTAYGACTCAACCAGGATGAGGCAGCTGCTTTCCAAGTCTGTTGTGATTGATGATGATGATGACGACGAGTATCCCTGGAGGCAGAATGCTCACAAGTACTACATCCATCTAACCCTCAGCCTTTTCCTCTTTCTCTGGTTCATTCTTGGGAACTACTGGGTTTTTTCTGTGTATCTGCCAAATTTCATCCCACCTTTTCATCAGCCTCAGGATTACTGTGACAAAACCCTGTACATTTTTGCTGTTGGTGTTCTCATTATTAGCCACACTGYTCTGTTTCTCCTTATTTTTTGTAGCTGCTGCATATACTGTTTTTCCAGGCAAAGATTCTCTTCTGAGGAAGACTAAATGCTATATAAATAAATCCCCAGATGTTTGGGAAAGCATGTACAACAAAGAACAGGCAATAATTCATCCTTGTGTATGTCTTTGTTGTATAATACATATATGTGATAGCAGTCAACTTCAAAAGGAAATTATAAAATACAGTGCCATGTGGAAACAGCTATGCTGGAACACAGCACGATCTATGTAAAAATGCTGCTGTAGGTGCCAGGGTGTACTCCTGCTAACTTTTACATCCCTTTTTTAACTTTGGATGTTTCATCAGGAGCAAGTTCTTGCAGGTGGCAAACTCCTCTAAAACCAAGTGTCCCTTATGTTGTATATAGCACAGTACATCTTTGCCTATAAAAGTAGTCATGTTGTCCTCTTCATTGGGATCTGAACATCTCCCCATAGTCTTGCAGAGGTTTGTTAGTGTTCCTGCATTATAGATGAAGGGTTATATTCAGGCCACCTTGCATGGTGTATGGACTCTGACAGTAACTTAGCTGCTCACTAKAGAGCTATCCAGGCCACTGTGGGGGATACACCTTTTCTATAGCAGCAATTTCTCGGTACCACACTAACACAAAGATGACTGTCAAACCATTGTCAAGCAAGTTCATAGAAAAACTGATGACGTTACTTAGGTATTTTAAATTAAAAACACAATACGACATGRGCAGGGATGTGAGAACTTCAGACAAATATGTTCAGTACAGCAGTTCTTTGGTTGTGGTGTGATTGTACATTCAATTTGTTCACCTTGGTGCTGTACATACAGAAATCTATACTTAACGGACAGATGTAATGCAAGCATCTTTTCAAACAGCAGCAGCAGCTTTAAAAACACCAGCATGCACAGAGACAATTTTTTGGTGACATGTAATGGAACAAGCCCAGAAGTGGTGCTGATAGATTTTTTTTTTTCATGTGTTGATGAATCCAGTGTAAAAGTGCTTCTGCTTTTGCTCTTATGCATTTCTATTAATATGGTCAAACAAGAAGGGCTTCCCTCTAGATGAGCATAAGGGTGGCCCAAGGCAAAGGAAAAGGGTGTGTGTTCTGTGTATKCTTTCTGTTTAAATCCACGCAGCTGCAAACCTGTGTTTTGGAGAAACCCAAGAGGGTTATACAATGCCTGTGAAAGGGTGAGATTYGTAAAAGAGCTCAACAAAATGCCACAGCTGAACAGGGTCTGCTCAACCATCTTTCCTGGGACTAAGGCTGAAAGCAGTGTAACATCTGTGTGAGCCACCTGTCTTCAAACATGAAGATTTGTCTCATTGGCAATTGTACAGATAACTAAGCCTGCATTTGGCTCACAGGGATTTTAATTCAGACCCCAGATCTAAGAATTCTTTCCAGAAAACTAATCTTCGAAAGAAGGTAGGATAAAGGTGTAATAATCCGACACGAGAGCAGTATCGGCATAGCATTCCCCTGCTCCACAGCATCTGCTCAGGAGACGCCACAGCCAGGTTGCCCCTGTTTAGAAATCCATGGAACAGGTGTTACTARCACTGCTGGCTGACTGAGGCCATGCACAGTTGTGTGTAGGGGGGATATGACTAATGGAAATATTTCTGTTTATTTGTGGGTCTCAGACTGGATCTGGGAGAAATCACTAGCTCTGTTTCCCCAAGAGCTGTGCTTCCCACCACACGCTCTCCACTGCCCCTCACTTTTCTGAAACGTAACTGCTGCAAATGGTAAAATGCTGGAATTCCTATTTTTTCCACCCCAAATATTTCAAAGGCTCAGTAGCTGGGCTCCTGGATTTCAGGGTTCAATTCTAAACTGATCTGTAAGACTTTCCCTTCAGTGGAGAGCATCTTTCATTCATTAAGAACTCAAAGGGTTTAAGAAATTGCCTGTCAGAAGGCATATTTCTATCCATCACTCAAATGCAACAAAGCAGCTGTTTGTCATACAGAGGAACTTTACCCAGAAACTTGGAACAGGCATAAAACCAGAAGATTATACTCAGTTGATAGTGCAAAAGAAATTTAACATGAAAATAGCTCCACTCACAGGACTCTAGCACAAACTTCCCTGCTCTATCAAAGTGCTGCTAGAATCATTCTTAATCATCAAGAATTAAGGATTCATACTCCTGATTTAAGTCTGAATTAATTCTAGTGACTTCACAGCAAGGGATGATGTGTTCCTATCAGAGCAAATAGGAAGTTTTAGCTCAGCCCAGAGGATAAGAGATATAAGCAGACATTGACTTGTGTTTGCTGTGTGCTTTCATGAGCATGGTTACAGCAGCTCAGCAGATGTGCAATGATTTGCCAAATTTCAGCCACACAACAGTAAACCTGAGGCCTATGTCTCWTTCATAGGAGGCTAAGACTGACTGATTCTCTACAGTCTGATATGGAGGATTAATTCTTTAGCTATGAGAACCCAGTGCACTCACTAACATCTTGGGAAAATGCTGCCAAGTTGCTGTGCTAGGGTTCAGYAGCTGTTGGTACAAACACAAAATTATAGAGGAGGTACTAACGAAGCAAATGACATTTATGAAACATTTTGAAATGATACGAAGTAAACAAAATATTTTGCTAGGACCAAGACACAAAAGAATCTGCATTGAAAATACTTACCTTTACCTTATGTACAACAATACACTATGGCACATACAAGTGAGAACATCAACGCCTCCAGAACAGTTGGAGCCATCGGTTTTTTGCCCAGAGGGATCTAAGCATGCTTTCTACATTTTCACAGCTAACGCCTCCTTCAGCAGGCTGGAATCTTGCAGGGGTGGAGCAGGGACAGCTGGTTTTGGGCATGTGATTAGATACAGCCGAGCTACAGTGACTCTTGTGACCCACCAGCAACTGCATAGGTTCTCTCAAGTTGCCCCAGGCTAAATGAAGCACACAAACCTAAATGAAAGTATTATAATTGAAAGCACTTTTTCTTGGTTTGGAGTTAGCCAGGAACATGTGCATGGCCCACAACACCTTAACTTGCATGCAGCAACTTTTTGAACTGCCACAAACTGATGGTGTCCCCAACATATGCTCAGTCTCTTCAGAAGTAGGCATGGCTCCTCAGCAAAAAGCTGTGGGGGAATTAAGTCATTACAGCTCAAARGTCAAGTGGCTGAAAATACAGTCTACACCTTGAAATGTTTAATTTAAATGTTGCCACTAGACTAAAATTACAAAATGAAAATGTTCATTTTTCTTTTCCATTGTAATATAAATGTCTTCTGAAAAATTGARCAAAATACACCCTTAAGCTAATTATCATGAACTCAGTGTTGACTATGCAGCAAACCAGCTGTAAYTGTTTCAGTTAAATCATCTTCCCTTCTTGAGAAGGAAAAGTCTATTTCCAGTACTTAAAGGAAAAAATATACATTATTTCCATGGATTAGGTAGCCTGCTCACTGCTAGTTAGTAGTACTGCAGCAACCTAATCTTATGAAGTCCCAAAGACAATTCTACCTGCACACAATGACTCTATACATACACTAAGTGCAATGACARCAGCCATGAAATACGTTACACTTGTTACTGTTTATTACCCACAGTATATTTGTCCTCCCACTACTCCACCATCTTATGCAGTGGGCATAAGATTCCAAAGCTCTAGAGAGTAGCTTTCTACAGCTATTTCAGAAGCAGCAGACAGACAAGCAATGTTTTGATCCTTCGTTCCAAACATTGAACACAGACAGCTCCTACCTGCTGGCCCAAAGAAGAGAGAAGAGCATCAGGCATATCACAGACCTCACCTTCTCAGGACTGGAAACCAGAACGCTATGCTGTCAGAGATCATCTCTCTCACAGAGCACTTGCTCTGAGTTTTATGAGGTCCCAAGACATCAGACTTCAAAACTGTGCAGAAAAAAAATAACCTGGAGTAGCTTCTTTATGCCAAGAGCTGTTTCAAATGTCCCAGATCCTGAAGTACGACTAGTTGATATAAAAAAAATCCTAGATGCTTTGACTAAACAGGCAAACGGCTACAAAGATTGAAGTGCTGAACGATGTTCTAAACTAGACCAGTTTCTGTAAGCTATCTTGAATTTTAGATAATTAATCTTCTCCAAATTCTAGTTGGTAGGGACTTTGCATCACAATGAGGACCTTTGTATGCTCTACATTTAATACAGAAAGGATTATTAAATCAGGGCTCTAATTTGTAATTTGTTGCCTCTTGGCATAGGCTTCTTCAGGTTCCTGTTCACTATTGGAGCAGATGAAAGTCCCACAGGTGCTATCCATAGGAGGAAACAGAAAATGTTTTTATTAAGTATAGTACTYAAGGGAAAATAAAAAAGGCTGACAAGTGCCATCTGACATTGCAGAGTACAAGGAAACTGCTGAAAAGAACAATATCATATTGCAATGTTTCTGAATAAATTGTATGAAATTCTGAGAAATCATTTATGTGTTTGTAACACTGAATTTCTACCAAATGTCCCATTTGAATAAAAATGAGTGTAAGTGCACAAGCCTATGTGACWACAGTCTAAAAATTAAGGTACTTTACATTTACCAGTCATGCTAATTATAATCAACCCTGCTGCAATTTCACAGAGATGAATAGTTATATCAGAGACTGATTTCACCCACAGATTTGAATCTCAGCCATACTGACTCGTCTATATGAATAGTAATACTCAWGCAAAGGAAGAATCCATTACACCCTTCCCCATACTTCAGTACAGCAGCTCAAATGTAGRAGATGCAAACTGTGGGCCTGTAAATCAACATACAGGAAAGCTTTCTTTTTGCAAGGTCCTTTGATGCCCGGCTGAGTTAGATACCTGGATGCGGAAGTGAGCCACATGAAAAAGATGGAGAGGGACTTTTTACAAGAACATGAAGTGACAGGACAAGGAGGAAGAGCTTCAAACTGAAAGAGAGTAAGTTTTGGTTAAATATTTGGAAAAAAATCCTTACTGTAAGGGTGGTGAGACACTGGAACAGGTTGTGCAGAGAAGTTGTGGGTGCCCCATCCCTGGAAGTGTTTAAGGACAAGTTGCACGGAGTACTGAGCAACCTGGGCTAGTGAAATATGTCCCTGCACACACCAGGGAGGTTAAACTATATGATCATTTAGGTCCCTTTCAACGATGCCATGGATTTGATTCTTAGTCCTTCGGAAAAAAAATTTAGCCTTTCARTGCCAATATGAAATGAGAACATAGGGTGCAAACAGTGGAGGGAAAAAAATCCACTGCATTATTATTCACAAGCTGCTGTAGATAACACCTCTTTASTATCATTGTTTACTTTTGCTCTTTATATTGCTACTCTGCTTCTGCAGGGATTCCACAATAATAGTTCATAAATACTATTTATTTTCAGATTCTATCAGAAAAAAAAGAGTTGCTTTAGTATTTTTACTGATCTTTTTTTCTAAATTCCAATGGGTAAAATAAGGCTTTCAGTAAACAGGTCTGGTACTTGC